CTCTATGGAAATGGGCTATAACGTATGCAGGTGATTTGTGACTCCAGTAGGAAAGGATAACAGCTCCTAGGCACTTGCCATTTTCCAATTAAAGGTGGCTATCTGTTCAGGCAGTCTTCTAACAATGTGGTTACTTTATGCAATTTTAGCTCCAATACAAACTATCAAAACTCAGTCATTCTCTCATCTTAAAGGTATTAGTAGTCTCTCCATTACTTTTGAGGTGATTTATTAAAATCAAGATTCAGTCTCCTTGGTTTAGGATAAGTGAATTGTCTCTGCTAGTGCTCTCATGCCACTGGAACTCCTGGTGACACAGTGGGAGTACTGGTGCCATGCAGTCCCACACAGCATGTGGTCCAGGTCTGTGTGAGCAGGTACCGGAGCTATGGCTTTATTAGAGTGAAGAAATGAGTCTGGAATGGGCCGCATGCTATGTTCCTTCGCCTAAGGAAGAGCTTCCATGGATGTGCTCCTAGAGTTTCCCCACAGGTCTGCAGTATCTTCGGCTTTTATCTGTCATTTGGGCCTCAGTATGCCACAGCTGTTTGTAGTTGTGTCCTTGAATTTTAAAATAAAAACCCTTCAAAACCTTAGGAGCATTTAATTTGCTTTGTTCTGGGGTCTCATGTAGGGGGGATTCTTTTATTCTTCATTCTGACTAGTGAAGAAGATTGCAAATGTCCCAGTGACACTCTGCCACCAGCTGAAATCACGGTGAAAGCCGCAACCGATGATGATTTTGCTGTCCGCAAAGCCAGAGCAAACAAAAAGGCTGGTAGCCCCAAGCAGAAGTTTGTGCATTTTGGACCAGTAACTGAGATTGATCAACAGAAATGGGACAAGCTCGTTATTGGAAGAGCTTCATCCAAGAGTGGAACAGAAGAGGAAAACAGGAAAGACAGTGTGGAGAGTCACTCTGGTGTTGAAAGCTCTCCTTCAGCCACTGTTGGCAGTCTCAGGTTTGCTGAACACAGCGATGAAGTATCTAAGCCACAGAATGAGTCCAGGTATTTGGTGTGGCTTAGGAAGTGCTGCTAAGCTGGAAATGAGACCTGTTCTTGCCAGATGCTGAGCTGCATGGGGGTGGACTGCAGCATAGACCTAAGAGCTGTTTATGTGCACAGCCTTGTTCAGAAGTCATCTGATGCCTTCACAGTATCTTAACATGTTTAGGGTTATGCAAAACAACGCTGTGCAAAGGTCTTCTGAGAGCTTGCCTCAAAACTTCTGGCAGGTGGTGAAATTGCTGGTATCTCAGAGTCTGAGCTGTCATTCAAGCTTTTTCTGCTTCTTGAATTTCAATGGCTTTGCTCTGCCTGCTTTCAGCACATTAGGAATTTGTCATTCAGCTTGCTGGCCTTACTGATGTTCAAAAAATGCTAGATTTACTTTCTTTTTGAAGATGTAATGCTGAAACCAGGGTGTATTGGTGCTCTGTGTTTCTGGCATTTATCTGGAGGAGAATTACAGCTCTGGGAAGTTGTCATATTAACAGAGCTTACATTTCTTTGGCTTTTCTTTAACTGCTTAGTCTGTGGCTGTAGCAAGAATTTTTAATGAATGCTTTTAGCAAGCAATTCATTCAGTTAAGTTTGTGTGTTTATAAAACATTTGCAGACTGAGTTGGAGGACTCCTCTCCTTACCTTTCATTTGACCTGAGAATGTTTTGTCTCTCTCACTCCTCCTCTCAATCTCATCGCTAGTGAGGTAGCCAAGTCAGGTACAGATGACTCTTGCAGGAGAATGCTGTCACCTGTCCCAGCTTTTGGCATCGTCTCTGAGAAACAAACCCTGTGCAGTTTGAACAAATGGCAAGAAAGCACCAAGGAAGAATGTGACGGGCATTTACCAGACATTGAAAGGGATGATATGTTGGTTAGAAGGATGGGAACTTTTCAGAGGCATACCACTAGCCCCGTTCCCATACATTGTCCTCCCATGTCGGTAGCTACTCATCTGCTGCAGCAGCAGGAAGGGGAGGCAGGAGCTCCTGAGAAGGATTTGAAGACTCCGCGGGAAGCAGAAAGGTCAGAGAACAGAAGCAGATCCCTCTGAGCTTCATGCCTGATTTGTGTGTGGTGTTAGCTTGGATCAGTCAGCAATGTTGTTCCGTTCTTCACACAGCCTTTAAAGATGTGTTTTACTCATTCATCATGGCATGTGTTCTGTTTTATGAAATTACTTACAAGAATGTATCCTATGAACATTAAACGGTCTGTTTCTTTCATAATATTTAAGTACTTCAGTTGTTAATTGCTGTTCAGCATGAAAACAGTCTTTCATCTTTTGGGGGGATTTCTTTTGCAGGCCAGGGTGTTTTGTCCAGGCTTTTATGCCAGCTTCCAAGTGAATAATTCCTCACATGCATTTTTATGCAATCCCCAAGTTCTAACGAATCACCTACATAAGCGTGGCATTCAACTTAGCTTCCTCTTGCTCTCACTCCCTGCGCTGCAGCTAAAGATGCCTAGTTGTCCATCACTCTGCAACTGTGTTTTGAGTAACGGTACCCCACATTGCCTGAGCAGCCACTTGCACAAGTGAGCATTATCATGGAACAGTGTCACTTGTCTCTCTGAGCAGTACTGTCACACGAGAAGAAAACCAAGAACAGCTTGAAACCCCTGAGCTGCAGAACGCTGGAGCAGAAAACAAAGTGAAATTTCCAGACCCACAAAGAGATGACATGTTGGCCAGAAGAACTGGAACTTTTCTGAAGCAACCTGGGCCCAGTGTTAAGCAGTTCCTTCCTATGCCATTTTCAAAGCAGCAGAATAAGCAGGGCACAGCTAGAGAACTTGAGAAGAAAACTACGAGGTAAGAAAGTTGTGCTTCTCAGCTGGCCCTGTGGGCTGTTTGTCAAGATCTCTTGGTCTGGAAGAGTTGGCCCAGCAGTGGTTTCTTCCAGGCTTGACCTCGATCCTGCGCCGACTCTTTGAAATCAGAAGGCGGCAATGCAGGGTTTCTGGCCCTTTTGGTAGAACCCTGTAAAGACTCAGAGCAGAGCTCTACCAAATGCAAAATCCTAACAGCATGTGGAATGGATATACATAGCAAGATTGGGTTACATTTGCAGAGGTTTCTGGTTAAGTATGAGCTAATCATTACAAAGGATTCCAGCTAGAAATAGAGGTGCTGGATATGGTAGGTTAGATGCTTGTCTGTAGCTTAGCTGGTGCTGGTGACTTCCAAACAGGAAATCTAGAGATCTGGACATACCTCCTGATAATGCTCAGTGTCTTTCTAAGCACCTTTGTTCAGAGGTGTGCAGCTATGTGGGGAAGTTGGTGGTTTAAGCCCTTGAACAGGGTTATCGTTGGCTGGTTGAGCCACATGCAAGCAGGAGTGGAAAGGTTCTTATTCATCAACCTCTTCAAAGTACATGAGGAGAAGGATGTGCATGTGCCTGTGTATACACAAATGAAAAAGTAGTGTACAGCTCTGCCAGGAGAAGAAAAACTGTCATCCACCATAGAATTGAACAGTGGTTTGGTGTTGAGAAGACCTTAAGTTGAATAGCTTAGTTAAAATATGTACTTAATACTTTCATCTTTGGCGGTGTCCAGGACGGTTGATGTTTCTGACTTAGAGGAATGGAAGTACAAACATTTGACTCTATTAAAATTATGTTTTGTGCACCTGCCTCACTTAACTTGTCGCCTGTCAGCTATTTGGGGTTGGGATTGGGGGTTTGTTAACTTACAGTTACGTTTTTTGTTATGTATATGTGATTTTTCAAATGTTGCTTAATACATCTCTTTGCACTGCTGCCTTTGGCTCACTCAGGCCTGAGAAATGTCCACAAGTCTGCATTAATAGCTCTGGAAAACCTGTAATACAACCGCCACAAGAACAGCAGCAAGGGCAGGAAGAATGCAGTCTCCCTCCTGCAGGACAAGATGAGACTATTTGTACTGCCCAAGTGGGTGAAGGTAGCCTTAATGAAGAGCACCTTGGTCAAACGTCTAAGCTTCAGGAGGCGCCTGAGGAAAGCAAAATGGAAACATTGTCATCCAAGGATGAGCATCTGCAAACGTGAGCTCTCTATGGTGTGAATCACGCAGCTTGTACGCCCCTGTGTGCACACTTCAGAATTCAGATTGTGCATTGCCTGGTGTGTTTTCAGTCCAGACTAAGATACTGTATGTCAGTAATACACTTCTTAGAAACAAACAGAAAAGTTATGTAATGCATTTTCTTTTGAAATACTTGAAATATTGAAGTGAAAGCTACTTGAAAGGAAGTATTTGATTACAGTATATATGTTGAATTGCAAAAAAAAGTTTATGAATAGCAGAGGTTCAATTGGACTCTGCTCTTTTAGAGATGTGTATCTTGCTTCTCCATTATTAGAAAATGTTGCAGTGTCGACTTTTGTACTTGATGTTCTTTTTTGATAAATCCCAGATACAAATATGTGATTTGCATGGCTCTAAACAAGACTGTCACTTTAGTGAATGACACTGACTTGTGTATTACCAGTACCTGTTTTCAGCTACACACAGCCCCCCCCCAAAAAAAACCAACAACAACAACAGCAACAAAAAAGGAAATCCTGTGGTTCACTTTCTGCTTATAATATTTGTCTCTTCCATGCTTCAGTAATGGTGATTCTGAGCACTGCTGTGGAATGTAACTTAAGTTTTGTCTCCATTCATCGCATGTATGGCACTTAATGTAAATGTTAATATATTGTCTATTTTCAATAACTATTTTCTACACCCGTTTTAGGTATACTTCAGCAGATTTTTATAATGAGGGCATTAGTATGGAGTCAGGGAGGGATGGGTAATGTTCTTACGTAGTTTGACCTCCAGATGGTTAGGTAAGTCTTGTTTGCTGAATACATAATCCCTGAACAGTATGATTCTTTTTTGGTCAGCTTTACTAGTAAAGGTTGGATATTCAGGTGACAGTTAGCCAAATTGTATGGGTCCAGTTGCAATTACTACTTAATGTATTTATCAACGCTCTAATTTTATATTTGGTCTTGTAGATTCGGCCCCAGAACTCCTGTGTCTGATGACGCAGAGTAAGTTGTCTTGTGTTCACAAGATTCTGCTTTAAACAACTTACACTGCATGCTTTCCCGTCTCTCTACTAATTTACGATGCAGTTGATGCCTGATTATTATTTTGCAGTGTTCCAGCAAATAAGTTTTTCAGGAAAGCACTGAAAAATGGAATGCAATATGGCTTACATTGCAGCTAAAAATAGTTTTTATATAAAAGCCCATAAAAACTGAGCGTAATACTAATGTCCAGCTGTTGCTTAACGTATTGTTTCCTCTTCTTTTCTTTTCTTTTCTTTTGTTTTTCTCCTGAATTTCCATTGCCTCTAATCAACTACAGGTAAAGAGAGTTGGGTTGAATCTGGGCTGGGTGTTGAGGAAAAAAATTAACTATGACCTATACAGGAAGAAAAAAGAAATCCCAAAATAAAATAAAATCCATTGTGATCTTCAGAATAATTACCAGGAAAATACATCTTCAGCTGTTCCTTTATTGTCTTTGAAAATTTTTCTCTTGAATCCCTTGTAGGTTGGGTTTAATTTAATAATGTACTAAACTTCATTTTTTAAAGCTCTTGGCAGAAGGAGTAGGACTGTGACATTTATTGCACTCAAACATTTTAATTGTGTGTGTATGCATGTAAACTGTAGTTCAGAATCTTATGCAATGTCATTTAGAAAGCTCTGTGAAAGTACTAGCTATTCTTACAAAGCGCAAGCATTTAGAAGCAAAGAAATACTTGGGAACTACCCACATAGTAATGTCCTTAATATCCTTCTTCTGTTCACAGAAATGCACATGACATTCTCTGTCTCCCAGATTAAATCACAAAATAGAAACGGCATGGAGGGTTCTTTATGACAAGTATATACAGAGACTCATACAATTTTTCACCCTTTCCTCTAATGATAAAGGCTAGAATCGTAGACTGAATATTCTTTACAAGATTTGTAATACTTTTATGCTGAGCAAAGCATGTGTCCTCTGACCACAGAGTAAATGTGATCATTGTCAAGCAGGAGAAATCTGTTCAATCAAATGAAGAGATGAGACAAAAAGAGCGAAACAACTCAGAAGTGTTACACTTAATGAGGACTTTCCTGCCATTTCAGAAAGCCTACCTATCTGATTGATTTGTTCATTTGTTTTCCCACATTTTTGCATATCCATATTAAATGCAAACATGAGAGAAGGTACATGGAGATTCCTTCAAAGGGGCATTGCAATGGGTTTGGTTGTGTAATGTGAGAGTAGCAAAGATGAATAAATCATATTGTTTATTCCACATTGATTCTGATTTTGTTTTAAAAGGCAAAACAATAAATGTTCAAGCCTCATTGTCATCCTTTCCAGATGTACCACAGTTTACAGAGCAACTATGTTCCTAAACTTTAAGTTCTTAGAAATGTAAGATTGTGTTTTTCCTTCTGAAGACGAAGTACTTATGAATAATCTAATAAAATTTGGCTCTCAAGTAGGAAAAATAAATTGAACTGACATTTAAAATGCTTCCAAAATGTTTGTCAAGTCTCCTTTGAAAACTCTGGAACTTGAATTCAGTCTTAAACTAGGTGCTGTTTATTCCAACAGCAAAACTAGAAACTCCTTTATTAGACTGACAAAGTTCCCTTTGCTGATTAGGGAATGCTAGGTATTGTCATCAGCCCTGGGCTGTCTCAGGATCCAGAAGAGGCAGTACTTAGTGGTTGCTGCTGATCAACCCCATTCCCATCTCCTGAAGAGACAGGGCTGAATTCTGTTGGTAGTATGACAGTCCAGGGTGAGTTTAGGCTTATGCTTTATACTTTAAGCCTGACAAGCAAATAATAGTGAGCTGAGATTTTTGAATATTTATTTACTAGAGTCTGATTCTTTAGCCAGCTTGTCACTTTTTATGGTTTGTTGGGGTTCCTTAAGTCTTAGTATGCCTGTAAAATGGTAACGCAGCCACATAATAAATGCCTTGTGTAAGGATTTTTAACATATTCTCAGAAAAATAAGGTTTTTTACCTTATTTCTCACTTTTAAATTGAATAGTCTGAACACTCAAGCGCTTGAGGACTTCTTTTTATGCAACACTTGTTCAGACTGGGTTAAAAAAATAATAATTGCTGTGTGATATCACTGACAAGAACAACTGTAATTTGTGAGAATAAAGTAGCATAACTTAAAAATCACATCATCCCAAAGATGTAGCCCTCCAAAATACCCTGTTGGTCTGCACAGTGTTTTTTCCCAGGTCTTTGTTAGAACAGCAGGTCTGGTACACTGGTCAGCGGATGGGCCTCTTGCTTCCAGACAGTTTGGATACAATCCTCAGAGCTTTGCTAATGGCAGAAAATTGATGAACATGAATTTGGTACAGTTACATCTTCCCCATCTACTTGCATGGTGTGTGCCTGCCGGCCCAGCACATGGTTGAAGGAAGGAGTAAATCTGGTTCTGTTTGTGCAGCTGTCGGTGATGGGCTGGAGTCATTTGTAGTTTATATAAGAAAGAAATATGACAAAATTATGTGGGACTTGTAGTGAAAGTGTCTTTTGGCAGAAGCTTAGAGTTTTGGCCTCTTTGATTCTTTTCAAAGGATGAACTTGTCAGGTGGAAAAGTTGATGTAGACCTTTCAGTTGGCCTTTTCCATGTATTCAGGAAAGTAGGTGGTTCTCCTTAACGGTTACTACATGTTGGTTAGAGCAGAGCACAGTGCTTTGAGATGTGAATCCTTCAGATTGCTCTCCTGGGGAGGATATGTTTGCATAGTAACATGTTGCTGCAGAGTTGATGTTTGAACCTACCTGGTTGCTTATCCATGGCAATGGAGGCCCAGCAGCAGGAGTAGAAGGTGCATGTGGGGTTGTAGTGTATAATTTGATTCCTCGCCTAGGCTGAAGCCTTTTCCAGAGTACCTTCTTTGTTGCATTGTTAATAGCCTTAAAACCTTTGCTTTCGTTGTCTCTGTGCACCCTGAGAAACCCAAGTGAATGCAGGGAATAAATACTACCCTTTCATTAGGACATCAGGGGACTCTTGTTAGAAAGTATTTTTATTTTCCCATCCCAAATGGCAGAGGGTGAGTACTCATGTACTCTACTAGAACCAGTTACCACCATTTCAGGTCTTCTCTTTTCTTCTTCTGTAGGTGAATGAAAAATTCTCTGACATGAGGGAAGGGTACGAGAAAGGAGCTACAAAACCAGTTTGACTCAGTAGGCTCAAGGTGGCAAATACTTAACACTAAAGGCATTTCTTAAGTGTGAGTTTCAAAAGCTCTTAAATTGAAATAAACCCTTTAAGGGTGACTTTATTACAAGCTATGCATCTCCCAACTTACCTGACCAGACTGCAAAATACGACTGATATTTAAATGTTCCTTAGTAAGTGCCTTTAGTTTTAAAAACAACAAAATGTGCCATCTCTTTAGGTTCAGTTATTTAGGAGTGCTCCAATCCAATCCTGAGCAATGCAACCCTTAAACAACCCACAGAGAAACCCAAATTAGTGTACTCAGCCCTCTGTTTAAGAGGTGAAGCATAGTAATACATTAACCTCGCTGTTCATGCTTAAAGGCAATAGGATGTATATGCTGTCCTTCGTTTCTGAGTAAATATCTACGAACTGGATGGGATCTGTGCATGTCCTTTTCCATCCACTGTCCAGACCTTTCATTTTTCCCTTGAGAGTGGTTCATTCCCATCTTTGCTTGCCTGAATACAAATGTTGGCTAAACATACATATGCACAGTTTCCTGTGACTATTCACTTTGATTACTGTGGACACAGTTGCCTACAATTTTATCTTCATTGGGTGCTTCTGCTGGTTGGCTTGTTGGCTCACCTGAAGTTACAGATGATCATTTGAAGACTGCTGTGAGATCACCTCATGTGGAACTGCATGGCTTTTTTTTGGTTTTGCTTTTTGCTTTTAATGGCACAACTGAGGTCATGTTTTACTAATAATAGGTAGTAGGAGGGAGTAGTAAGTACGTTATCTTCATGTGAAGATCTTTATATAATATGAATGGATGTATAATATCAAACCATGACCTTTTTTTCCTTTAACTCTCTAAAGGTCAAGGATAGAAATAGAATGTGTAGAAAGACACTGTTTTGTTCTGAACGTCAGCTTTACTTGTTAGGTTAGCCGTATTAATAAGTTGGTGCTGCTAGCGTTGTGTTTCTCTGGGGCAGGGAGAGGAGAGGAGGAAGTACCGTGCTGTTCGTGCTGCGTGTACTTCTCTGGGCACGCTCTCCCCGGTTTTGTAGCCATAGCATTTAGCCAACCATTCTGCCCCCAATATACTTCTCAAGCCTCTCTTGTTTTACACTGAAATGGAAATTGGTATCTGTGGTGTTATTTGGAGGGGTCTTGAAAACTCACTGGGAAACAAATCTTCAGAAAGTAAAATGTTCTGAACTCTGCTCTGAAGAGAATGATTTTAATAAGAATATCGATGGAGGTGTAATGTTAGTAACGCTTCTTAACGAGAGGCAAAGTTGCAGTCAACTAACAAAAACAAGAGAAAGTTGAGGAGTATAATGCCTGTATAATGCGGGAGCCATAGGGATGCTGACTGGTCCTTCTAGGGGACTGCTGCTTTCGGGAGCTTCGTAACGGTGCAGGTGTCTGACTCTGCTGTAGCACCCTCATGTGGCTTTAGCTCTAACAAGCTGAAGGAGTATAAGCTTCTAAATAACGCTGCACTTCTTATTTCCTCTTTGTTTAGGAGTGTGAGCATGTTTGACATGAGATGTGAAGAAGAAGCTGTGACTCAGCCTCATAGCAAAGCTCGCCATGAGAAACTGCAGAACATACACAACCAGCTGAAAGAGGATGAGACCAGGTGGCAAGATGTGAGTATGCAACATTGTCTGCAGTGCTGGCATTGAGGCCAGCTAGCTAGGCAAAAAGTGCAACCTGCTAAATCTACAGTTGTTCTCTAGCACAAAAATAATCAGGAGCTTTTTTCCTTCCCTGTCCCCTCCCCCCACAATGGATTATTGCTAAAAGCATAGAAGTTCATAATTTGATGTAAATTACAGAATACAAGGTCTTCTGCTGCCTCTGCTTGTGCATCATGTATTTTGCTTTTTTAAAAAAATGTAATTAAACTGTGATTAGGTAAAAATGAGAGCAGAACAGCTTCTAACTGCTAATTTCTCTAACTTCTGTAACTAGCAAATGCCCAAAGTGACAAAATACAAGACTAAGCAGGACAGTGAATAAATAGGTTGGACTTGGCTTTCATAAATTTGCATAGATACAAAAAACGCTAACATTTTCCATCTTGTCCAAGCAAACAAATTAACCCTTTAAGTTAGCTACACCCTTCTTGGGTTACAAGTCCTTTCCAAACACTCTTT